GCGGTCAAATTTTTATTAATAAAAAAATTTCCATATTGAGCAAAAATCGGGCGTTACTTTTGTTGGCTACTGTACAATAGGTTAATTAAAATTAATAAGCTAACTCATGCTGATCAGAGTCAATTTGAGTTAAATATTAACTATGTTTAACTCATGAAGATCGGCAATTTGAGTTAATATTTAAACTCATGTAGATCAGCAATCACAGATTAGATTAGATATTTATTTTTTTTTTCGATTTCGGGTAAGTATATTTGTGTTGTTTTCTCTTTTTTGTAAAATTCGTTCACTAATGCTCTTTTTTTTTTCTGGTACTTCTCTCTTGGGATGATTTGGAATTGGATTTTTGGCTTTGGGTGGGTATATTTACTTTGATTGTTGGATTTCTTGCTTGTAAAATTCGTTTACTAATGCCTTTTTTTTTTGCTAGTACTTCTTTTTTGAGATGATTTGGAATTAGACTTTCGGCTCTGGGTATGTATATTTACTTCATTGTTAGATTTCTTGCTTGTAAAATTCGTTTACTAACGGCATTTTTTTTTTTGCCGGTACTTCTCTCTTGAGATGATTTGGAATTAGACTTTCGGCTCTGGGTGGGTATATTTACTTCGATTGTTGGATTTCTTGCTTGTAAAATTCGTTCATAACGCCCTTTTTTTTTCCAGTGTTTCTCTCTTAGGATGATTTGGAATTGAACTTTCGGCTCTGGGTGGGTATATTTACTTCATTGTTAGATTTCTTGCTTGTAAAATTCGTTTATTAATGACATTTTTTTTTTTTGTCAGTACTTCTCTCTTGGGATGATTTGGAATTGGACTTTCAGCTCTGGGTGGGTATATCTACTTCGATTGTTGGATTTCTTGCTTGTAAAATTTGTTTACTAACGCCTATTTTTTTTTTTGCCGGTACTTCTTTCTTGGGATGATTTGGAATTAGATTTTTGGCTCTGGGTGGGTATATCTACTTCGATTATTAGATTTCTTGCTTGTAAAATTTGTTTACTAATGCCCTTTTTTTTTTTGCCAGTACTTCTTTCTTGGGATGTTTTGAAATTGGATTTTTGGCTCTAGGTGGGTATATCTGCTTCGATTATTAGATTTCTTGCTTGTAAAATTCGTTATTAACACCCATTTTTTTTTGTCAGTGTTTTTCTCTTGGGATGATTTGGAATTGGATTTTTAGCTCTGAGTGGGTATATCTACTTCGATTATTGGATTTCTTGCTTGTAAAATTCGTTTACTAACGCCCTTTTTTTTTTTTGCTGGTACTTCTTTCTTGGGATGATTTGGAATTAGATTTTCGGCTCTGGGTGGGTATATCTATTTCGATTATTAGATTTCTTGCTTATAAAATTCGTTTACTCATGCTCTTTTTTTTTTTTTCTAGTGTTTCTCTCTTGGGATGATTTGGAATTGGATTTTTGGCTCTGTGTGGGTATATCTACTTCGATTATTGGATTTCTTGATTGTAAAATTCGTTTACTAGTGCCCTTTTTTTTTCCAGTGTTTCTCTCTTGGGATGATTTGAAATTGGATTTTCAGCTCTGGGTAGGTATATCTACTTCGATTATTGGATTTCTTGCTTGTAAAATTCGTTTACTAACGCCCATTATTTTTTTTTCTGGTGTTTTTCTCTTGGGATGATTTGGAATTGGATTTTGGCTCTGGGTGGGTATATCTACTTAGATTATTAGATTTCTTGCTTGTAAAATTCGTTTACTAACGCCCTTTTTTTTTTGCCGGTGTTTCTCTCTTGGGATGATTTGTAATTGAATTTTCAGCTCTGGGTGAGTATATCTACTTCGATTATTGAATTTCTTGCTTGTAAAATTCGTTTATTAACACACTTTTTTTTTTGCTAGTACTTCTTTCTTGGAATGATTTAAATTTTCAGCTCTGGGTGGGTATATCTACTTCGATTGTTGGATTTCTTGCTTGTAAAATTCATTTACTAATGCCATTTTTTTTTTACTAGTACAGACACGTTACACAAAATTAGGCCGATCAGATATCACTGTGATATTTCAAATTTACTTTATTATTTTATGAAT